TTATACAATGGTACAAAAGCAACATTTGGGAGAATCAAATTCATAAAGATTAAAAAATAGATTGTATTAGAATAAGTCCCGATCCGATCAGGGTTTAAAATTGGCTTGCATAAGATGCACATGTGCGCAAGTGCTTTTTTTTTGATTTTTTTTTGATTTTTTAAAAATCTCTTAAGTGTGCAAGTAAAGCTTTTTAAAAATGCTGCACAAAATCCATTTGTGCAAGAGATTTTTTCTTGAATTTTAAACACTGGCCCCGACACTATACCAGGATCACGGGATTATTTAGATCCATTTTCATTTACTGTCTTTGTATAGGAAGTTTGGCTTAATTATAATACCTAGAATAATACCTAGAATAACTACACCTTAATTATATTGATTAAAAAATTATAATTTATATTTATAAACATGTGTTGAGATAGATACTTATGAGAAGATTTCACGTCACAAGAAATAAACTTTATCATTAATTAGAGTTCAATTCTTTTACTTTTGAGAAGGAAAAAGCACCCACATTTATACATTTTATTTCATAGCATAGACATCTTTATATATTACACTTATTTAATAATAATCACGAAATTATTTATTCAAATTCCCTCGATATAGCGAACAAAATATACCCTATAAAAAAAATAATTATATTCCGAAAATATTTCAGATTATTATACTTGAAATATGCATAAAATATTCAGAAGATATTCTTGTTTATTAACTAAGTTATTTTTTTTGAAAGTAATTTGGAAAATAAGCAGATGCTAATCATACTTTACTCCTAATAAAAAATTCTATTTGGGCAACTATGAAATTAGTAAAACTTATCTCTATCAATTTTACTAAAATAAATTGTCTTTACTACTCTTTATATAGCTAAAAATTACTTAGCTTGGTTTTAGTAGAGGAAAAACTAGAATTTGTACTATAGTAAAATATTTTTAAAAAGACTATATCTGAATCGCAAATAGCATTGAGATTCTATACTACTTCTATTTCACTTTTTAATATAATATTTGTTTACTTATATTTGTTATTAGCTGTTTACAAGCATCTAAATCAATTAATCAGATAATAATTGTTGAGGATTATGGTAAATATCAAATTTTATCGTGCAAACTCTTATGAACATGGTTTTTTTTGCCTTGATATTTTTATGCACCAAATGTTATGCAATATGATATTCAACAAATGCGCAAATATTCAAATAAAAAATATTGAGTTATGTTATTCCACGTTTCTATATGTTCACATGACGGTGTTTTACGACTTATAATCACTACTTTAATCAGTAAAAAAAAAAACAATTTTCTGATGATACAAGTTATTTCCCCGGAATTACTTGTTATTCCCTGGAATTTATTGTTATTTCCCCGGGTGCACTTTAGATTCTTGTCAAAATTCTTTAAGACGAGATAAAAATACTATTTAGATCACTAGTTTTTGGAATTTTCTTAAGAAGAGTAAGATTCTGCTTAGGATGCTAATTTTTAAAATTCTTTTGAACATCTTAATTATTAAACCTTAATAAAATTTAATATAAATCTAATATTAATATCAACACTAATTTTTTTACAATAATTAATGTAAATTTGAGGAATTAAACTACTATTCGAAGATTTATCTTCATATTCATTATCACTTGCTTGAAATACGGGACTTGCTAGTTTTGAAGTAATAGAATTTGAAGATTTATCTTTGCTATCATTTTGCTTAGTTTGACGAAATAGGATATGAGATGTTAAAAGGTTTGGACCAGTTATGTAAAGCTTTTTGAACCTTGCATTTTTCTACAATTATGAGAGCACCCTTACACTTGTTTATTATATAATAAAATTTTGGTAATTATTATAAATTTATGTTTTTGTAATTTATTATTATCTTCAATAACATTTATCTGCTTCATCATCTTCTATTAGTTTTGTACCTTTGTAGTTTCATCGGTTTCATTACCTTTTGTCACCTTTCGCGAGTTTCGACACTTTTCGTCAGTTTCAACATTTGAGATTTTAATTGACGAAAGTCAAAACTAGGTTTCGAGTGAAGCCTCAAGGTTTTGTCTAACAACTATATTCTGAATTAATTAATGCTTTATTGAATATTATTATCATGATCCTAATCATGATGAATTGAAAATACCACATTGTTTTCGAAACTTTTTTGGGTGGCGATTTTACCCGGTCACATTTTTTTGCCTGTGCCTATAATAGTGCCTGGCATGCCCTTAATAGTGCCCATAATAGTGCTGCAACTTTTGTGCCCATGCCCATAAAATGCCTGGCATTTGTGCCCATGCCCACAGTAATGCCTGGCACTTTTGTGCCTTAGGCATGGGCACGGCATGAAGCACTAGTGCCTGGCCTGGTGCCAATATGCCCGGCGTGCCCACTTTCAGAGCCCTAACGATAATCATCGAAGTTGGCTAATCAATTCTAAGCGCAGTATGCTTATAAATTCAGTGGGCTACTACAGTAAGAATCGTGCATTGCATATTCAGAATCAAAGAAAGTTTTTTTTTATTTTTATCCTATGGATTCATGGAATTAATAAATAAACTTTAATGATTTTGAAGTCATAACAAAGTCGCAGTTAAGTTTTTTCGAACTTTGATCAGATTAGAAAGGTAATTGCTGAGACATTTTCGGTTAAAGTTCGAAAAAAGTATATAATATTATTACCAGGGATTTTTAATTTCATAAACTTGAGATATCAACAAATATGCACCAATCAGATCTCTTCGATGAATCAAACTAATTTCAATACGTGTAATTTTTTAAAGTAAAAAATATACGTTAAAGTTAGGTTAGAAATTAGAATTTTTTATGTTAGAGAGCAGAATGTGGTTTCATTTAATAGTCGAAATTTCAAGTTACGTATCAACAGTTTTTTAAAAAATGTGATTTTCACATTATACCTATCTCGCTTTCTTAATAACACGACAAAATTTCACGGCAAATTCTCGATTTTTTATTGGCTAAGAGCGATGATCAAAAATTTTGGCCGGAATTACTCAGAATTCTACTAATGAAACCACAGAGCCTATTAAGTGAAAATTGTTCCTGGGTCAATTTTACCATAATGCAGAATTATTTTCAAAAAATTTCTATTTTTGTAATCAAAAAATTAAGGGTAGAGTGTATGTAGATCATTTCTACTAATAAACGAGTGACCAAAAATATTTTTACTGCAAATTTAAAAGATGCTACATATAAAAGTTAATTTTTTACTATATAAATTGTATTTATGTACTAAGTAAAATTGTTCGTAATAAAAAATT